TGATGAGCAAATAGCAGCTGAAGAAGACAAAAAAGTAAAAGATTTTTTTATAGATATAAAAAAGCAGAGACAAGCGAAGCTTAAGGAGAAGCCGTACTTTTACATACCACGAGATCTGCTGAGGCAGAAGGTCGAAGATCACAAGAAAAAGATGCTTGAACTTCGTAAGCCTCCGCCACTATCAGACTATGACCGCTCCCTCGTGAAGTGACATGATGCAGATAAGAAAAGGAAAAGAGCATCAGGGAAGGATGTCCCACAGCTCGGACAACAGAAGCAACCAATGCAAAATCTTGTTGTTGCTAATGAATATGGTTCCAACATAGAAGTCTATCGAACAGATAACTCTGGAGAAGTGTCGGTTCAAGACCTTAATGCTTTTTTTGAAGATACTGGTTTAACCTTGGATCAATTGACGGGCAAAGCTCAAATCCAGAACCTGGAAGTTGATACCTGGAAGACTTATAAATTTGGCAAAAGTCTGTATAATCCAGCGGCTCTGAATGAATTGGGTACACAAATGTACTTGCTCAACAAGTGGTACATGCAGGCGTGTGGCAGGGGTGAGGAGTGGATCTTTGTCAGATTTAGAGACCATCATTACTTCCGTGGCGATGACATCTTACATATTAGTTTCGAAGAATTGCATCAACTATACCACATGGACGCTCTGGACAAATCAATCATTAGCTCCTTTTGTTTGTAAGTGATTCTTACTTTTATTTAATAAACTCACTTCCATGCGTGCGTGTATATAATTATCCTCACATGTAACTTATATTTATATACAAATTCCAGATGTCAGAGCTCCAAAGAATACAAGACACCAGTGTTGGCTTCATTGATCCTTATATCATATTCAAAACCGATATTATTGCCAAGGAGCGGTGGGTATCTAAAGCATAGAAGAATATCATGAGATTTTTCGTGAAGCAGCACGACAAGACAACAATACTTTTCCCGTACAGCTTTGAGTAAGTGTTAATAATAATGTAGCGTACACATTTTATGTAATATCAATACAACTTATATGCATGTACGTGTGTGTATAAACCAATGCAGGTTTCACTGGATACTCATTGTCATTGAGTTAAACTCAAGTCGGTTAGTAATCTTGGACTCGTTGAGAAAAGAGCGGGCACTATACCAAGATATGATAGACATTATCTAGGGGTAATTTCGATCTCTCATGCACAACTATTATTGAATAGACTTTGGCATAATTTATTAATGATCGTACATTATTGGTCGCACAGAGTTTGGAAAGAGTTTATTCGGCAACACCGCAAGGATTGTAAGACACCACTTAATGTAGTTGAAATACCAGTAAGTTGTACTATATATACTTTCCCACGTGTTTAATTACTATATCGTACTTCAATTTACGTGTGAGATGATGAGAATAATCTTCTTCTCGTACAGTGGTGTTTGCGGCAGCAACCAGGTAATAACTTGTGTGGATACTATGTTTGTGAATTTATCACTGCGCACATAAGAAGAACTCCTAAAGATGTCCTCAGAGTACGTATATATCAATTTTTTATTTATTTATATATATATATATATATATTTGTATTAATACTTTTCTTTTTATTTCAAATGCAAGACTGAATGGTTGAAACAAAGGGTCATGCAAAAAGACCATCTGAAAGCAGTTCAAGAGTCAATAGCAGGATTTCTTCTAGAAAAAGTGCTAAATCCCAACGGCGAATTCTACTTTGATCCTAAGGAATAAATGATGTAAATTAAATGTTTATTGATATCGTTATTTTCGAGAACAAGATTATGAAAGTGTTGTATATATACATATATATATATCTATAATATATATAGTTTCATACTTTATTCGAATATAATAATGCTCGAGATGAGAATTAGATGTAATTATATGCGTGCGTGTATTTATATTAGCAGCGTAGAATACGTACATAAAAACATATTATATATTAAACAAATATGTGTAACTGAACTGAAAATAAATTAAACAAAAAAAAAGAAAAAGAAAAGAAACATTTTGTCCCGGTTAGGGTTACCAACCGGGACTAAAGGGTACGGCCACGTTTGTTCGGCTGGAGGGCCTTTAGTCCCGCCAACCGGGACTAAAGGTCCCTCTTTAGTTCTGGCTCGATGACCCGGGACTGAAGGTTCCACCTTTAGTCCCGGGATCATTGTCCCGGCGCGGTAACCGGGACTAAAGGCCGTTACCGCCCGGGACAACAAGACCATCCTGTAGTAGTGGTGCAAAATTATTTTGCATTATAGATAACAACACACTTAGCAAAATCGTAGTGCACATTTAGAGGCAAATCTTGCATAGATAAGGAGAATTAACGCCCAATTTTAGTTTTAGAAAGCCTAATTCACCCTCTTTTAGCTGTTACAGTCCGTTCAAAAGGAAAGAATAGTTTCATCACTATGTTTGGTTAGAGGATTTATGATTCTATTTTTCATTCGGGGATATGATAAATAATGCACACACGGCTACAACAATTAGCTGTAGGCCTGCTTATAGGCCTAATTCACCCCCTTCGTCTCTGCTTATCTCACTATCAAGTGGGGGGCCATGCCTCTCCGTCCTCCTCCAACCACCGCCTCACTGGCAACATTTCGTCATGTAGCTTGTTGCTTGCAGTGTCAGCATGATGCCCTAGAGTCCAAATAGCTTAGATATACTCTACATATGCTTAGTGAATAACACACTTCCACCAATTCACAACACTTTCGTCGTGGGCTAACGTAGAGTTGATGGTATAGACTCTAGAATCCTTATGCGCTAGGTCTAACCCAACCTCCATCAGTAAGATGTCACTAACCCCCTCAACTTACGCAAACTCACGTCAGCACACACTTGGGCCACCATAGGACTAATTCAAACCAAACAAGGTGTCACAGCCGACCACCTCTTGCATGCAGCCACCCAGCTTGATTGGTACTCACGTAGCTACCCACACACCGCCCCTGATTGCCTCACGCTGCGGCGTTTACACTTGAGCTAGTGGATCTGGCCGTGGAGGCAGTCTTGTATGGTGTTGACTGGCGGGCCGGGTTCGGCTCCAAGTAGATACGGTCGTAGAGGGTACGGTGATGGATGTCGTCATGAGACATGCGAGATATAATAGAGACCATCCTGTCATTGACGTAGGACAAGCGCATTCGTGAACTTTTGTGGGATGTGACAGTCCCAAATCTAAGAGGTATATTTTCCTTGGCGACCATTCCATCCCACTCATTCTAGAACTAAATAACATAGTATAGAACCACTCCGCGAGTAAGGGCCATCTAATGAACTGAACATCGCCTTAGTGAAGCCACCACCTACTTGAGGGCTACTTTGGTAGAGCTCCACTTCCTAATTCTTGAGTTCCAGATCTTGATTTTCTGATGAAGTCATTTTGGTGGGTGAGCCTGTTATAAGCGATTGCTGAGTGAGTCCGGTGAAGATTGAACGGGGAGCGGTAAGGAGTGAGTTTTTAGCTCTCATTTTGTAGTGTAAATGGAGAAGCGGTTTTTGTCAGCTCCCCACCAAAATCTAGTTGTGCTTGGCCGTTAGGTAGAGCTCCACATAATCTTCTCCGCAGAAGTTGGCGGCAAACTTTACCTACCAAACTAGCCTTTAGCCGTCAAATTTGGTGGGATCGGTGAAATTAGAAGGGAATTTGAGGTGGAGAGACTAGCGTCCGGGCGTTCGAACGCCACGTTCGTCCAGACGCCCGTGCCTGCTGCCCGTCCGCACGCTACTTCAGTCAGTCTGAAAAGGCTAGTGGGGCTTGAGTTTAATCGTGTGATCACAAGGAAATCAAAGAACAAAGCATACAACTCCCGCCCACCCGCAGGATGCGGCAGCACCTGCCCATGGACTACTGCAGCTGTCGCGCATGCCAGCCCGGCCACGCCTGCTGCTGCGGTATGCTTGCGCCTGCTGCTACGCATGCACGTGGGGGCCACCGTGGCCGCTTCGCTTCCCGTGCGCGCGGTGACCGTTGCGCTCGAGGGGACCACCTGCGCTGGCTTGTTCATGGAACACTTGCAACATACGTCCGAAACAGATGAAACATTTACAACATACTTTTACAACATATGTGTATGGCCACTGCAACATAAGCAACATCTAGATAAAATATTTTCAACATACGTTTGAAACAGCTAAAACATTTGAAACATATAATTGCAACATGCGTGTGTAGCCAGTTCAACATATTCAACATCAAGATAAAACACTTGCAACTTACGTTTGGAATAACTGAAACATTTGAAACATATACTTGCAACATACGTTGATGCCATTGTAACATATGCAACACCAGACCTACTTTTGCAGCATTCAGATAAAACATATATAACATAAATATGAAATGCATAAAACATACAGTTATGTGATCATCTATTTGTTACCGCCCAATAAAGGCTCGTTGACGCGGCGCGGGGGAGCGCAACGTGAGGCACGAGCAGGGGTGCGAGGCGAGGATGGCTCGTGGTGCGAGGCACGAGTAGGGTGCGTGGCACGTGGTGGGTCCGGCGCAAGGTGCACGGTGGGTCCGTCCCAATGGAATCGGCCGCAGCGGGCGAATAGGAAAGAGACGCGTCTAGATTTTTTTTAATAAAATGAAGAAGTTATGAGAGGAGTTGACCGGTCAGACCTGGTCCGCAGGTCTAGCAAAGGCGCGTGCATGTGGCCGGCCAAGATCTCGGTAGAGAGAATTACCGTTATTAAAAGGAATTGGAGAAGATTAAATCTCCTAATCCTCTCTAATCCCGTCGGAGAGCGGATTTACCGAACAAAGCCTCTACAGAGATACGTGGTGTTAAGATTAGGGTACTAGAGGCCACAGAGATCACGATGCTTTCGATTGTTTGTTATCGCAACCAGAAGTTTTGGACATGTTTACTACTCGTATTTGCTTGCGGTTATATAAGAGAAAAAAACCAAAATACATCCACATCCGTCCTGTTTCCTCTCCTGATTACGTCAGATCGATCCATCAGCCGCCCGGAGCACAGCCATGCCGTCGTCGACTGCGCCAGAGGTGTCCGTTTCCACGGTCGCCGCCACGGCAACCTCCACGGGGCACCACATGCTCAAGATCGAGGGTTACAAGCACCTCAAGGACATCCACCGCAACGGCAGCTGCTTCGAGTCCTGCCGGTTCGAGGCAGCAGGCCACACTTGGAAGATCTGTTGCTATCCCAATGGGAACCGCAGGGATGCCGCCGGCTGTATCTCCCTCTTCCTCGCGCGTGACGACGACGAGGACAAGGAGGGGGAGAGCGCCGGCGTCGTCCACGCCGAGTTCCGGTTCGCCTTGGTATACCCCCGCTCCAGGTTGCTGCCGTGGCCACCGTACGCCAAGAGCACCACGTGCACCTATCCGAGCCCCAACAGCAGCTGGGGCTTCCCGGGGTTCATCACCGTGAAGGGCCTGGAGAATACGGGGTTCCTTAAGGACGACTGCTTCACCGTCCGGTGCGACATCACCGTCGTCGAGAAGTCGGCCGTCAAGGATGAGCTCGTGAAGGCGGCGGACATGGAGAGGCTGGGGATGCTCTGCAAGTGCAAGGACGACCTCTGCAAGCGGCACCACCGTGCCTGAGGGCTGGGGCACGCCGAGACCGCAAAGAAGCTCAGGAAGGCGGTCGTGCATCGTGCAAGAAGCTCACCGGAAGGCGGTCGATAGGTTATTCAGGTCCATCGGATGATAACTATGTTCGGATGTTTTATTGGCTTGGCCTATATAATATTTAATAATTTAAATAAACTCTATAGCCTGTATCAATGCGCGATATATGATTTACTACCATATGAGATTTTGACTAGACATTGACTCAGCTTATATGGTTAAATATTGTCTATCTATATTGAGAAGCTAAGAAAAGGACGTTGATGTGCTACACGCGCGTGCGCCGCCGCTGCCGCCGGGCTGAGGGCGTGGGCGTGGAAGTGGGCGTGGCAGGCGGCAAGCGAACGGACGGACGAGGCCGTGTTTTGCCAATCAAGTCTCATAATTACGGTAGTTTCTTCCGTTTTTAATGAGTGGCGGTTTGATGATGGGAATTTCCTCCGTTATGGCCGCTAAATCTTGATGGCGAGAGCTCTGTCGCTCCTGTCTCTTGATCTCCTCCTGAGCCCCTTCGCTTCCCCGTCGTGAGCATATAATCCGAGTTCCTCCGTCAGTCATTCTTCTTCGCTTCCGAGACAACCAACCACATATTCAGCTGCTCTCCGGTGCTTCCCGTCCCGGTTCCTACGCGCACTGGAACTGGGAGAGTAGGGCCTCCAGAACGCCTACCATCTTCGAGTTCACCTGCTCGGGTGAAGGGTGACAATCACGTTTTTGGGGAATGTCACTGGCGGCACGACTACTCGCTACGTCTACGTCCTCTTCTTCCCAGCGCACGTTGAAGGCTCTACGGTGATCTGCACTGCAACGAGCGGGACGACTACACCAATAGGCACTATGTCGACTAGTGCATCCGGCTCTGCCGCTATGTATGTTTCTGTTCTTCGCTATCCAGTAAGGTCTTGTGTCAAAATCTTGCTGGTTAGTATTATATACATGGTATTCATGCTTAGACCAAACAATCACATACATGATGTCACAAACCTCTTGGTTATTGCTATTTTCTGGATTAAATTGCTACTAAAATTGCTTAAATTTCTAACAATACAAAAACATGATAGGCAATTCTCGATAGTTGGTTTGCAAGTATACTGAAACCGAATGTCTTTGAGGGCACTCATTACAAGAGGTGGCGGCTGAGATGCATTCTATGGTTGACTTGCATGTACTGTTATTTTGTTGCTGAGCCTAGGGCTATTGGGCCGCATCCTCCTGATGAGGAGCGTGCGTTCAAACATGCTGACACTACGTTCAAGGCAGCAATTTTGAGTGTGCTTGGAGACACCATAGTTGATGCATATGTGCGGCTACAGACTGGTAAAGAGATGTGTGACGCACTTGAGGCAAATATGTGGTTTCTGATGCTAGTTCTGAGTTGTATGTCATGGAGCAGTTTCATGACTACAGGATGGTCGATGACCGTTCTATGGGGGAACAAGCTCATGAGATACAAACACTGGTAAAAGAGCTCGAAATTTTTGGTTGTGTGTTGCCTAATAAGTTTGTGGCAGGCTGTATCATTGCTAAGCTGCCACAGGCTTGAACAGATTTTGCTACTTCTCTGACACGTAAGACACTAGAGTTTGGCATTGTCGAGCTCATTGGCTCTTTGGATGTTGAAGAGAAGGCGAGAGCAAAGGACATTTGTGGCAAGAAAGTTGGTGAGGAGAGTTCTAGTGCCCATGTGGTGCAGAAACATCCTCCCAAATCCCACAAAAAGAAATTCCAGTAAGAACCCAAACAAATGTCTACCACTCCTTTTAAGAAGAAGAAGAAGAAGAAGAAGAAGAACAAGGAACAAGAAAATTGTTTCACTTGTGGCAAGTCTGGGCACTATGCTAGAGAGTGCGAGGAGGCTAAGTGGAAGCCAAACAAGAAAACAGCAAACACAGTTGAGGCTAATGCAGGAACAATGGGGTACGATAATTTATTGCCTACTGTTCTTTCAGTTTGTCATTCACCTGATTGGTGGGTTGATACAGGAGCAAATATCCATGTGTGTGCTGATGTTTCTTTGTTTTCTTCTTATCAGGTCGGGCGGACTTCCTCCTTGTTGATGGGGAACGGGGCACGTGCGGCTATATGTGGTGTTGGTACGGTCGATCTGAAGCTTACTTCAGGAAAGACCGTACAGCTGAAGAACGTGCATCATGTCCCCTCAATAAAGAAGAACTTGATTAGTGGTTCTTTGCTGTGTCGTGATGGTTTTAAACTTATGTTCAGTCTAATAAGTGCATACTTTCTAAGTATGAAACTTTTTTAGAAAAGGCTATGAGAGCGGAGGCTTGTTCCGCTTGTCTTTGACGAATACTTATTTTAATTATGTGAACCATGTGGGCCACGATAATGAGACAAATATTTGGCATTCGCGCTTATGTTATATTAATTTTTGTTGCATGACTCGCTTAGCTGGTTTAAATTTAATTCCAAAATTTGATTTGGTCAAAGGTTCCAAGTGCCATGTTTGTGTTGAATCAAAACAACCTCGCAAGCCTCACGCGACTGTTGCGGTGAAGGACTTGGCACCATTAGAACTAATTCATTCTGATGTGTGTGAGATGAATAGAGAGTTGACCAAAGGTGGCAAGAGATATTTCATAACGTTCATAGATGATTGTACTTGATTTTGCTATGTGTATTTATTAAAAACAAAAGATGAAGCGTTGCATTATTTTAAGATCTATAAAGCTGAGGTAGAAAATTAACTTGAGAAAAAAATTAAACGTTTGCGATCCGATCGCGGGGGAGAATATTTCTCAAATGAATTTTCTGAGTTTTGCATGGTGCGTGGTATTATTCATGAGAGGACGCCACCATACTCACCACAGTCCAATGGGATTGCAGAGAGAAAAAACCGCACTCTAACTGAGTTGCTTAACGCCATGTTAGAGACTGCGAGACTATCTAAGGAATGGTGGGGTGAGGCAATTTTGACAGCATGTCATGTCCTGATTAGGGTGCCCACAAGGAACAAATAAATTACACCATTCGAGGAATGCGAGAAGAAGAGATTAAATCTTTCTTACCTGCGAACATGGGATTGTTTGGCAAAGGTGAATGTGCTGATAAACAAAAAGCGAAAGCTTGGACCAAAAATAGTTGATTGCATCTTTCTTGGTTATGCTATTCACAGCATGGGTTATAAATTTTTAATAATAAACTCTAGTGTTCATGATATGGTTGTTGGTACAATTATGGAATCTAGCGATGCGACATTTTTTGAGAGTGAATTTCCCATAAAAAATACACCTAGCACTTCTAGTCATGAATCTATTTTTCTGCATGACACATGAATCGGTAATACACGCTGATGTTGAAACCCATGAAGAAATTCCTGAGGAGGATAATAATATAGTCACTCAAAACAGTAAGAGATGGACGGTTGCAAAATCCTTTGGTGAAGACTATATTATATACCCTGTGGATGACACTCGCACAACCATAGGTGAGGCATATTCATCTCTCGACGCTGACTTGTGGAAGGAAGTTGTTCAAAGTGAGATGGATTTTATTATGTCTAATGAAACTTGGGAAGTGGTTGATCGTCCTTACAGATACAAACAATGGGGTGTAAATGGGTCTTCAAAAAGAAGCTTAGGCCTGATGGTACTAATGAAAAGTACAAGGCGAGGCTAGTGGCTAAAGGCTATACTCAAAATGAAGGAGAGGATTATTTTGATACTCACCAGTTGCCTGTTTGATGACCATACGCATGTTGCTGTCCTTGGCTGCCTCACATGGTCTTCTCGTTCATCAGATGGATGTTAAGACAACTTTCTTAAATGGAGAGCTTGAGGAAGAGATCTATATGGGTTAGCTTGATGGATTTGTAGCAAAAGGTCAAGAGGGTAAGGTTTGTAAATTATTAAAATCCTTGTATGGCCTAAAGCAGGCTCCTAAGCAGTGGTATGAGAAGTTTGACAAAACTTTGACATCAGCCGGCTTTGTTGTGAATGAAGCTGATAAATGTATCTATTATCGGTATGGTGGGGGAGAAGGTGTAATTTTGTGCTTATATGTGGATGATATTTTAATCTTTGGAAATAATATTAATGTGATCAAGGAAGTGAAAGGCTTTTTCTCTAGTAATTTTGAGATTAATGACTTGGGTGAGGCTGATGTTATTCTTAACATAAAGCTACTGAGAGAAGGAAATGGTGGGATAACACTTGTGCAATCCCACTATGTGAAAAAGGTGCTAAATCGTTTTGATTATAGTGATTGCACACCTTCTCCAACTCCCTATGACCCAAGTGTGCTATTAAGGAAAATCGCAGAATAGCACGGGATCAATTGAAATATTCTCAAATGTTGGCTCACTTATGTATTTGGCTAGTGCAACAAGGCATGATATTTCGTTTGTTGTGAGCAAACTTAGCCAGTTTGTTTCAAATCCGGGAGATACACATTGGCATGCTCTTGAGAGGGTGTTGCGCTACCTGAAGGGAATTATGAGCTATGACATTCACTATACCGGGCACCCGAGGGTACTGGAGGGTTATTGTGATGCTAACTGGATATCTGATGCTAACGAGCTTTATGCCACAAGCGGATACGCGTTCTTGCTTGGCTGTGGCGCTGTTTCTTAGAAGTATTGCAAGCAGACCATTTTAACGAAGTCTACAATGGAAGCATAACTCACAGCATTAGACACCACTGGCGCTGAGGCCGAGTGGCTTCGTGAACTCCTAATGGATTTACCGGTAGTTGAAAAACCGATACCGGCCATCTCCATGAACTATGATAACCAAATGGTGATAATCAAAGTGAACATTTATAGGGACAACATGAAGTCTACAGGGCATGTGAAAAGGCGGTTAAAATCTGTCAAAAAACTAAGAAACTCTGGAGTAACTGCATTGGACTATGTGCATACATCTAAGAATATAGCAGATCGGTTCACAAAGGATCTGTCACGCAATGTGATAGAAGGTGCATCGAGGGAATTGGGCTTGAGACCCACTTGAAGTCAT